AAAGACATCAGTCATGAGAGATTAAAAAAGCTGGATATGTTCCCTCTATGTCAGTGTTTCCCAAACTGGGGTTCGTGAACCCCTGGGGGTTCACGAAATGTTACAGGGGGTTCTCGGGGAAAAATTCCCTAATGGCGGACAGAGCTGTCCCTAGGGACCCTGGGCAGCATGGGACACTGAGGAGACTTAACCTTCAAGACTCCTTATAAGAAATGGAAAGGGAGGTGGATATTTTTTGCTGTTTTTAAAATTAAATAGGCAGCTAGTATTATTTTTTAAATTATTATGAAGAACAAATTTAAGCTTTGTTGTAACGTGCGTTGTTTGCCTGGACTGCTCAAGACCTGAATGCTTGTGTAGGAGGAACTCTGAGTTGGCTTCTTAAATACCTTCATGCTGTTTCACATCTGATACTCCTTGATGAAACATAGGAGCCTTGTCTTATAACAGGCTTATTCAAAGTGATACAAGCTACAAAAGTGAGATCTTGGAAGAGTGTTGCCATTTTCATAATGCAATAAAAATACTGTAATGATAAATAATAATTAATAATACATAGTGTGTAATAAACATGTCACAAAAACAAATTTTATATTTCCAAGATCACTGCTTTTATAATTTATACTCAGGTACAGGAGAAAATCCCTGGAAATATTCATTTTTAAGAGGCGGTTCACGAGACTTGACATTTTAGTGAAAGGGGTTCACAGGTTGTTAAAGTTTGGGAACCACTGCTCTATGTATTATTTATTTCTGGTAACAGCTTCTATTAGCACAAGTGTAGGATACACTTTGATATAACCTAGACTAGTTTTACACATATCCACCAACTTCATTTGCTTCCCATCCACCTCCAAATTCAATTGATAATTTCCCTCCTATTTTTCAAAACTTTGTTCCCTGTTACTTTGACCTCATATCTACTATTGTACTTGTTCACTTTGCTCCTCTAATTTTACCCCTTTGAAATGGAAAAGAGAAGAAGCCACTCTCTCCCCTTTTTATGACTCTCCACAGTTAGGTCATCCTTTCATTGCTTCCACATCTATCTGCAATTTCCCCAAAAGACCCCCTAAACTTGGACTACACATAGTTTTTGTACTGCTTTAGGTATATTGGTTTAAAAACAGATACTGTTAAAGTAATACAACCACCTACTGTATAAAGTTATACTGGTATAAAGATGCTTTTATCAGTATAGTTTACTTCCCTAAATTTAGGGAGGATAATAAATATATACTTACATTTAGGGGAATAAATTATAACAATATAAGCACCTTTATACCATATAATGGTGGGGGTTGTATCACTATAACTGTTTCTAAACCCCTAAATTACTTCATCCCTTCAAATGCTTTCTGAAAGCCATTTGATGGTTCTATGTATTGACGGAAATGTATTGTAATTATGTCCACATTGTTCCACTTCAATTTTTTTCTGTCTACGTTTCACTTATTGGTTTTCATTTCCATAATCCCACTTGCACTTCCTTTTCTACAAAAACTTTCTTTGTATGCTTTCTGTTTATTTTCTTATTCTTCCTCACATTTATTGGATTAAATTTTCAACTCCTGCTTCTCAGAATTTTTTTGTTGGGACATGCCCACTCATATATGCATTCCTCCCTTAATCATACATTAGACCTAAAGGTAAATTGGAGGATGAAGACATGGAACTGCTGGAAGAGACCGGCTTCCCCAGGCACTAGTTTAGCCTGGATCATTGGATTTACAACACCAGCATAGCCAACACTGATTTGACTATTAATCCCTTAAGTGTCTCAGGAACTGCAGCATAAATCCAGTGAAGGAGCACTCATAAGGCTCTAAAGACCTATAGTGCTTATTCCCATTCAGAAAACTGAGCTTTTCTTAATAGCGATGATAATTCAAAGAGTTAAATCTTTTTAAATTAGAGAGACCTGCTTGCTGTTGTGGTGGTGCTGAATGCTGGGAAGATATTTAGGATGATTCAGTGGATACCCATATTTACCTCCATAGAGATTTGAATTCGCCACCAGCCCATTTCTTGCTTTCACTCATAAACTTACAGTTGCATTCACTGCTATCAGGTATCTAGCCAGTGCTTTACAGCCCCACAATAGCACTCAACAGAGTAGTCATCTTTCTTATACACTGTCTCAGTAAGTAACTATCTCTCATAACTATCTGTTCCTCTACCAAAGAGCAATTCATTATGCACCAACTCCATTTCTACCCCTGTGACATGACTTTAACATTCTTCTTCCTTTAGTGAACCAAAATCTCTGTAGATTTAGTATTTTAGGGTTTAGGGAATATGTACCAGGATGGAAGCTGTGGCATCAGGGCGTATGGGGTATCGGGAGGATACTGCGGAGTTATTAGTATCTGGGTGGTTCGGATGGTATCAGGGTGGTGATACCAGGGAATGGTACTGGGGACTGGATGGTATCAGGTAGATATCAAGATAGGAATAGTATCTCCTGTGGTATCAAGACACAGATGACACTGGTTGGTAGTGGGGAGAGAATTGTGTTAAAACCATAACATAGAGCGGGTAGTATAGGGAACGGATGGTATTGCAGTGGCACTGGTAGGTAGCTGATATCAAGAGGTTATCAGAGGGTGGTATGAGGGAGGTATCAGTAAGGGAATGGTATTAGGGAGTGAGTGGTATGAATGAAGGGATGGTATTGGTGAAGTACTGAGGAGAGGATGGTATCAGGGTCGTATAGGCAAATGGCTGAAATCAAGGAAGTATTGGTGAGTGGTTGATATCCGGGAGATATCGGGGAGAGATGGCATTGGCAAGGGGGTATTAGGGACATCATGGTAGTGTAGGGACAAAGGGATGAAAATATTGGTAGGGGCTAGAAACAGGGAGTGAGTGAAATCAGGAAAGGGGTGGGATTGGGAAGTATCAGAGAGGTACCAAGCATGTGGTAGTGACACAGGGATGGTACCGGAGAGGAGTGCTTTCAGGGTGGTATTGGGAAGGAGATAGTATCAAGCAGGAATTAATATCAGGAGTGAATGAAATCAGGGAGACTGGAACTGGGAAGCATCAAGGAGGTATTGATAAGTGTGGGGTATTGACAAAGGGATGATATCAGAGAAGTATCAGGCAGGAAGGGTACTGGGGATATGGCAAGGGGGTAGTATCAGGGAGTGAGTAGTACCGGGGGAAAAGGTGGTATCGAGGGGGTTGGTATGAGAAAGCTTAAATTATTGGGACAGGGTAGCATTGGGAGGTTAAGGTCTGGAGTAGGGATAGGAGGGAGGTATTGGGGGGCTATCAGTAGCTGAACTGGTGAGTAAGTGGGCTGACAGTTGCTGTACTAGTGAGTGGGTGGGTGAACAGTGGCTGTATTGGTGAGTGCAGGGGCTGGCACTAGGTGTATTAGTGAGAAGCTAGGCTGGCACTGGGTGCATGGGTGAGTGGTGGGTCTGACACTGGGTATATGGGTGGGGTTAGTGAGAGTGGATGTGTGGGTGTCGGGTTTGGTGACACTGAGTGTATTGGTGAGGGGCTGGCTAACTGGGTGTATTGGCACAGGGCTGGGTGACACTGGGTGTATTGATGAGAGGCTAGCTAACAGTGGATGTTGTTGGCAGAGGGCTGGGTGACACTGGGTGTATTGGTGAGGGGCTGGGTGACAGTGGATGTACGGGTGGTGCCAATGGTGTGTTGGTGGGGTTGGGATGAGACTGGGTGTCTTGGCGAAGATTGGGGGTTGCCTCCTGTCCAGATTGTATTGCCATGCTGTTGCTGTTGGGAGTTGTTCTCGAAGCCCCTGCAGCAGGGCCAGATGAATTTTCCTGTAGGCCCAGGGCTATTAGATTGTGTGGGTGCCCTGTATACAAGTCTTTTTCCTAATTTAAAACAAAATTGTCACAATTATGGCATCGAGGCTATTAATGCTATAGTAAACTTGCCTTTTAATTAACATAAAGCCATTCTGTGGTTACATTTCAGTCTTAAAACATGTAGAATATAGTTAAGTCAATTCAAAATAGCCTACTTCTTACCTTAGAACAGCTGTTATATTAGTTTCTTTCGGGGAGGGAGTTTGGGTGCAGGAGGGGACTGCAACCTGGGGCAGAGTGTTGGAATGCAGGAGAGGGTGAGGGCTCTGGGAGGGAGTTTGGCGCAGAAGGGGATTCTGGCCTGGGAGTTGGGATGCAGGAGGGGGTGCGAGGTGTAGGCTCCAGCCAGGAGGCACTTACCACAGGAGGCTCCCGGCCGGCGGGCGCAGCAGGGCTCAGGCAGGCTGCCTGCCTGCCTGCCATAGCCCCGCGCCGCTCCCGGAAGCAGCTGCCTGCTGACACGTCTCTGCGCACCCCTGGGGGGGGAGGGTGACAGCGTGTCTCTGTGCGCTGCCCGCGCCCGCAAGCGCTGCTCCCGTAGTTGCCAGCAACTGGCCAATGGGAGCTGCGTACGGTGCTGCCTCCCAGCACCGCCGGGGCCGCAGAGACGTGCCAGCAATGGGAGCAGCGTGAGGCCAAGGCAGGCAGCCTGCCTGAGCCCTGCTGTGCCGCTGGACTTTTAGCAGCCCAGAGCTCGTGATCGACTGGCAGAGGCTCCAGGATCGACCAGTTGATCGCGATCAATGGGTTGGTGACCCCTGAATTGTATATAAGGATGGATTTATTTTTGTGGGTGCCCCCTCAGCCCGAGCCCCTGGGCTGCAGCCCCTGCGTTAATCCAGCCCTGCTGCTGCTGGATCCTGCGAGCGTGGGGCTGCGGTGCACCTCGCTCGGCTCGGGCAGGGCAACCTCCCTGGTAACTGGCATCTCAGGGCTTGCGCCCGCCAGTCTCACACCTCCCCGGCTCATGGGGCTGCAGCAGCATCGGGGTTGGCTGGGCGTAGAGTGCCGGCGGGCGAGGCTGTACTGCCCCGCCTCGCCACGAGAGGCAGCACCAGTCAGGGTACCCGCCCCGCCCCGCCTCCTGCCTTAACCTCGGCCCTTTCGGGGCGGGACTGTTGCGCATGCGCCCTTCTCCGACAGCCCGTTCAGCGCAGATCAACGCGTATGCGCCCTCCTGCAGTGACCGCCGGCTCCTAGGCTGCAGCGCGTGCGCTCCATGTGGGTGGAGATCGGTCGAGATACACGGGCGCATGCGCTTGGCTTGTGTTGGCCGAAGGGACAAAGCCCCCAGCGAGGCTGTTGCGCTGCGGGGTGCGAACTCCTCGCGGATGTTTGTGCGCGTGCACCAGGTGGTGCGGCCCCTCCCCCAGCTGCTACGCATGCGCGTTCCTTTCGGAGACGGGCTTTGACGCGCGTCGGGCCGCCCCCGGGTTCAGTCGCAGCGTCTTGACGTCATCGGTGGGAGCCGGAAGCGCTGCCTAGTTACCAAGATGGAGAGTAAGTGCTCGGGGGGCTGGTCCATTGAGCGGGTTCGATAGCCCCGTTCTCGCCTCCAGTCACGTGGGCCGGTGTCCCCTCCGCCCGGCTCCTAGCGGTACCTGTGGCAGACAGCGGCCGCTCCGCGGGCTCCCCCCGCTGGGGCGGGGTCGCTGCGCGTTTCAGTTCAGTGCGCTGAGTTGGGGGCGAGGGGTTAACCCCTCCCCCGTTTGCCTTCAGCCCCGCTCCGCTGAGAGGCGAGCGGCATTTCCCAGCGTGCTCCCTCGCGCTCCTCAGTGCGCGGCCCCGGCGGTGCTCGCGGGGGGTGTCCCCGGAGGAGGCGGCGGCCTTGGCCGCCCTCGGAAACGTCAGCTGTTGGCCCCCAGGCGGGGCCGCAGACTCGCTAAACGGGTGTGGGGTGTGGGGGAAGGGGCTGCCCCTGCTCACAGGGCGTTGTGTGAATGTGTGTTCCAGGTGTGATTTACAGGAAGCTACCGCCGCAGGCTGCAAAGCTATTGGATCTCCAGGTATCCGCTGCTTGAACTGTTCGCTGCTAATCGAGAGACTGTGAGAGCTGGACTGTGCATATACCATCCGCCTCTCGTTGGTAGCTGGTCATGGGAGTTAATGCTGCTTGTTTCTTCTTCAAATTGGCCATTTTATCTAAAACCTTGGTCACGGTCATTTTCATCTCCTACAGGGAGGTTAATCAAGATAATGTTAGAATTGAATTCTAGTCTTGGCATTTTGGCCAGCGCCATTCAGCAAGCACTAAATATTGTTTCTACTTTGGCCTGGCAAAAGACATTTTGATCATTTTAGAGTTATGAGCCAGTTTAAAATCACAGACTCAGAAACCTGACTGCATGTGACTCAAGATGGTATTTAGAATTTTTTTAACTATTTTTCCACAAAGTTTTTTTTAACAACGTGTTCATTCTCAAGGCCTCAGTGCTTCAATTTGATCTATGCAGGCAGGACCCTGCACCTATGTTGAGCCCAATTAGAGACAATGGTTCTCAACACAGGTGCGGGGCCCTAATTTTTTTTCTTTTCTATACATTGTGTGTGTATGTATGTGTATATATATGTTTTATGTTTACATGGAAACTTTCAAGCAGATATCGCTTGAAGCAGCTGTGTTACATATCTCTGAAAATAGTGGTTTCTGTTTGAAATAGATTCTTTAAAATCTGTGGAGCGTTCAGGGGAGAAACTTGGACAACACTCTTCCTGCACAAATTGCTGTCTTATCTGTATTTTTCTTTTTACAATTATTAGGATGTTTGCATGAAAATGGGAATGTTTGCTCTTAACAGTGAGTTTGGAACTGGAGAGAGCAGAATTTTTAGAAGCATATGAACTCTTTTGCTTTAAGTCACCTGTTAAAGTCAGTAACAAAGTCAGATTTCTGATAGATGGCTTATTTGTAGGTCCCTACCAAATTCAAGGTCCATTTTGGTCAATATCATGGTCATAGGATTTAAAAAATTGTAAATTTCATGATTTCAGCTATTTAAATCTGAAATTTCACAGTGGTGTAATTGTAGGGGCCCTGACCCCAAAAGGAGTTGTGTGTGTGGGGGGGGGGGGTCACAAGGTTATTGTAGGGGGGGATTGCAGTATTGCTACCCTTACTGCTGCTGATGGCGGCACTGCCGTTAGAGCTGGGCAACTGGAGAGAGGTGGCTGCTGGCTGGGAGCCCTTAGTTTTGCACTGCTGCCTGCAGAGCTGGGCCCTTAGTCAGCAGCTGCCACTCTTTGGCTACCCAGCTGTGAAAGCAGCAGTGCAGAAGTAAGGGTGGCATGGTTTGGTATTGCCACCCTTACTTCTGCGCTGCTGCTGGCGGAGCGCTGCCGTCAGAGCTGGGCACCTGGCCAATAGCTGCTGTTCTCCGGCTGCCCAGCTCTGAAGGCAACGCAGCAGTAAGGGTGGCAATACCTTTAACCCCCCCCCCCCCCCAAAATAACCTTGTGACCGCCCCATAACTCCCTTCTGGGTCAGGACCCCCAATTTGAGAAACACTGGTCTCCCCTGTGAAATCTGTTTAGTGTAGGATTAAAAAGCACACAAAAGACCAGATTTCACGGTCCGTGACGCGTTTTTCATGGCCGTGAATTTGGTAGGGCTCTACTTATTTGAACTGAGTCTGGCTTCACTTCTTTAAGTTATCTGTTGTACACAAGCCTCTGTGCAATCATTTTCTTCTCATAGCTAATGTCTAATGAATAGTCTTCCACATCACAAAATATAGTCACAGTGAGCACTAATATGGCACCCATTTAGCCTTCTCAGATAAAAGGATGATGGAATGGCCATGGAAACTAAACTACCATCACAACTCTAGAGTTAGTCCCCTCAGTTAAGGATTTTGAGGCACTTTGGTGGGTCAGTGTGGAAATGTTTCATGGAAATATAATTGACTTAAGTATCTAGAATATTATCAGTTTTTCATGGTACATTAACATGTATTTAATATCAGTGGTATCAACCACTGATGAGACTACTAGTCAGTGATATTCTTAACTTTAACAACTTTTATTTTGGAGCCTCAAGGATCAAAAGAGGCCGAAGCTTTTGTAAATGCCTTTCTGAAACGTAGTATGCCACGACTGAAAGATGAAGCCATCCAGGATAAGCTAACCCGAAAAGCTGTAGTTCTTGAGCATGGTGCTAAAAGAAGGAAAAAGGAAAAAAGGAAGAAAACTAAAGGGTTTTCTGCCAAGCAGAGGAGAGAAATGCGGCTCTTTGAAGTTAAACCAGAACAGCAAAAGTAAGAACTTAAAAGGCTTTCTTTTTGTGACTTATTAGTAAAAGTTGAAAGGTTGTTGAAAGCAGTGTACATGCAGCAACATGTATGTATTGGTGCTAACAGTTATTAATTAGTACTCTTAATATTTTGTTGAGTTAGGTCAGTTCTGTGCTGCTTATGACATTTGGCCATGCGAGGACAGTTCTTTATTTTTTATTTTATAGATGTCTACTGTATATTGTGAATATCACTGACATTGCCTTCTTTTTGTGTTTTGTAAATCTAAATATGGTGAGAAGTCAGTATCAAACTACTATATGGAGCCACAGGTCCCTGATAGTGACCAGACTTAGTATCTCTCAGTGCATGAAATGATTTTATTAAAATGCATCCTCTTTGCAACCATAGTTGGGAAATGAAGTAGACAGAGAATACAAGAGTAGGAGTTTCTCAGGACATAAAATGCAACATCTTATGTGATGTACATTAGAAACCTCTTTTTAGAGTAAGTAATCTTACAGCTTGGAATGTTGTATTGTATAGCTAATGACTTCATGAGATACTCAAAGAAACAAGTTCTAACTTTGTATGTAAATTATAGATTGGTTAGTAGTTAAGCTGTCATGTTGTATCATACAACCTTCTGAAAAGATACCATATAATCTTTTTTTGTCTCTTGCTGACTATTGTAGATATGCGTTGTTTCAACCATTACATGAACTCTGGAAACAATACATCAGGGATCTGTGTAATGGACTCAGACCAGATGCGTAAGTTCAGTTTATTTAAAAACATGTAGGGTCTAGATTGTTTATACTTATGGTAATATAATAGTCTTTGAACGATAATTTTGCATAATGTTTTTAAACAAGCATATATTTCTATATTTTTATAAATACAAAAGTGTACTGACTTTAACACCACAGACAACATTTATTGTAAATATAGATTTTTTTTTTAATGTTTTTTTGTTTTGTTTTAAGACAACCACAGATGATTCAGGCCAAATTGCTAAAAGCTGATCTCCATGGAGCTATTGTTACAGGTATTACTTTTTCCATTCTTTTTTTGAAGGCTTCTTTCAAAGCCCTATGGGGTAATAATTACCCTACAGTTTCTGTTTCTAAACCTACATTTTCCTTTCCCTTAACTTCTGCCACAAACACACATTTAACTGCTATTTCTGTAGTCTTAGTACTTTTGTAAACTCTCCAAATGTTATCTACTTTGGGGTCACATATTGAGACCAAATTATTATTTGACTTATTCCCCTTCCCAGACTCAACCCTAATACTTCATTTAAGTACTTGTGGAAACCCTCCTTTGTTAGAATTTGTTGTTAATATGCACAGCCACCAATAGCTATGTGATTGCTACTAGTATTAGTTTGACTTCATAGCAGAATTAGGTATATTCAGGTATATTTATTCTGAATTACTATAAGCTATCTTTTAAAATTATGAAGCTACAATATAGATAATTTTCATTTGCAAATTCTTCCACTGATACATCTGTTTGTTGTTTTTGTTTTGTTTTTTAGTAACTAAATCAAAATGTCCCTCTTACGTTGGGATCACAGGAATTATTCTACAGGAAATGAAGCATATTTTCAAAATTATCACTAAAGAAGATAAATTGAAAGGTATGTAGTACAAGTTTTCTGTACCTTTCACATTTTGAGTAGTCAGAAATACTACTTTTGCACATTATTCATCCGATGCTTTCTTTGTAAGCCCAAGTGGCAGTGTAGGCTGCATAGTACTTATTAATAAAAATCATGCAGCCATGTTCTTGTTGAACAGAATTCTCACTAGAACAGATTGGCTTCATGAAAATAGCAAAAGAGATGCCAGAAGCAGATTGTTCATGTTGATCTGATTGTCACTTTTGATGCTCTTTGCGACATACTAATAGGAGGATGTTTCAAAACATTGGATGCTTTTAAACATTGGAATTCTTGAAGAAGGGCCTTTGAAAACTTAGTTGTGCCAAAGTACCAGAACCTTGAAGGACAGAGATTTACAATACATTACTGATCGGTTTTTTTTGTTTGTTTTTTGTTCCCTCTTCAACTTCTCTTTCAGTTATTCCCAAACTTAACAATGTATTTAGCCTGGAGGTTGATGGCTTTATTTCCCACATCTATGGTAGCAAGTTCCAGCTTAGAGCAAGTGAGCGTTCTGCAAAGAAGTTCAAAGCAAAAGGAACTATTGACTTGTGATATTAAGGAAATTTCAAAGATATTGGGGCTTCGTTCATAAACTGAAAATCAAGTTAAAAAACAAGAACATATGGAATTCTACATCTTCTAAAGTACTTCTTTATACGGAAGTATGAGTTACAAGAAACATTTAAGTTACATCTGTTATGTACTAGGTGGTCTCCCAAAATCCTCAAATTGCAGTAATATGTCAATATTTCATTTATTGAAAATATAGTATATAACTATATATATTTTTTTAATAGTAAACTAATATTTGTGGTGATTCACATCACTTTGTTTGTCAAAATAAAATCCTTTTCCCAATTATTGCTTGACTTAATATAACTTTAATTGTGTTGGTTTAGTGTGTATAATAAATGTCTCAATTTACATATTTTCAGACTGTGGAACATGTATGAATCCCAATTCCTGATGTTAAAAGTTGTCTCTATGACATGTTTCACGGACAGACAGGGTTATATGGAAGAATTTACAATACAGAAAATGAATTAAATCTTGTTTACAACTTTTTTTTAAATTCTGTGTTTTGGCTTCCATACATATTACAGTGCTTATAAGAAGACCATAAAAGACTTAAGGCTTTTACTGTATAATCACCATTTGGTGATGTAAACACAATATAATTTTTTTATGATTTAAATTTTATACACTTGCTTTGTGTAAACTATTTTCTCCTATACCAGGAGCGACTGTTTCATCTGATCCGTTTTATTTTGACCTATCTGTGACACATACCAGTGCTTACAAACAACATACAGATGAGGGAAGTATAAATGCATAGCGCACTCTTTCTAGCTGCAAAGAATATCACTATAGCCTGTGCCTTCTCACTGTGGTGTGACTTGTCACTTCATTAAATTTCTCATGTCTACTCTGTCAGATCACCCACTCTGGCTGTCTTGCATTTGGAAGGGCTAACAATGATCCCTTTAAAATAAGACATTTGTAGATTTCACTGTGTAATAAAAAATAGCATCTTCACAGAGGAGAGGTTTGCTCAATCCTTTTTCCACCTTCCTCCAATATTTCTGATTTTTTTTTAAATGTATATTATATGGAGGTCCCTTTGTTTTGAAACTCTGACAATTATTAGATCAAGGCTGGCTGAGAGGGAAGAGCATTTGAATACTAGTGTTCTGGTGTGGCAACCAAGAAGGCCCAGTCACTGGCTGCTGTTGAGGGCCTTTTAAGTTTGTTCAAAGAATATTAAACGGGGGGGGGAATGGTTTAAACGCTCCTAAAAGCAATGCTGATAGTAAGCTTTGTAATGCAAAGCTTCTTTATCATTGCACCCTGTCTGTGTTGAGGAAATGAAGGGACTATCCTTTATAGAAACTGCAATTCTTGGGCAAAATGTGTTTCAAAGATTACTGTGCTGAAATAAAAAAAAAAAAAAATCAAATGCAGTCTTATGTGTAGTAAAAGGGAAGAAGGATTATAAAGGTAGCATGTCTGAAAACAGAAAAACTTTGTAGGTAGAATTCTTAATGCATAAAATATCTTGCCTTTCAAACCTTAATATTTTTAAATGTATTTACTGTATATTATAAACAGATGCTTGTACCACTCATGTATTTTGCTGCAGGTGCTTCTCTGGATTTTAGTGTGGGTTCAGTGAATAGGTAAGAGAAGAAGCAACTTTCCACTGACTGAGCTTTTTAGGTCAGACTGTGGGATGGGGGAGGGATCCTTCCCTGTCCCTAACCCCCTATAATTTCCTCTTCCTCATGTTGCCTCCACTCCGCTCTGCCGGCTTCTGGCATCACCTGCTGCCGCAGGGTCCTAGTGCCCCCCTCCACTAGGGCCAGGGCAGGCTGCCCTTCTGCCCTAGTCCTGAGCCTCTCCAATGCCCCAAACCCCTCATCCCCAGCCCCACAGCCCTCACCCCTGCACCCCCTCCTATCCCAAAACTCCATCCCAGAGCCTTAGGCGGGGGGGCAGGTTCTGGGCACCACCAAAATTGCTACAAAGCTGCCACCCCTGGAAGAGGCAGAGCAGGGGTCGAGTGGTGGTGCAGCCCAGTGCAGTGTGGGGGCTTTACTGAGTGTATATATTTTATTAAAACCGCTTGGAGGAGGAGGTGGAGAAGAGACTGGGCAGGAGCGGGGCCTCATGGAAGGGGTGGAATGGGGGCGGGACAGCAAAGGGGGGTGGCAGTGATGCGGCCCTCGGGCCAATGCACTAGTCCTCGTGGCCCTCGGGGCCACTTGACTTTGAGACCCCTGTTCTAGAATGTGAGTCAGGACTGTTGGTGTATGTTAGTGATGCTGTTCAGGAAGCACTGGCAACCACCTCTAATAATAATAATAATAGTCATGATAATAATCCCATCTAGAGGATTGTAAACTACACAGTAACCTCTTTAAGCAGGAAAATACCCACTTAAAAATAGTGGTCTTAGTGTCCGCTCTCAACCACTGAATCGGAAATGAAATTGAGGAACATATAGGGAGGTGGAAATCAAAGCAGGTAGAAAGCAATCCTGCTATTGATGTGTGCAGCTCCTTTCCAACAATATCAATGAAGGAGTATTATGGTTTAGAGGTGAGCTGTACCTTTGCCCTCTCCATCTCTCTCAGTGGGCACCCTTTCCAAGTGCCAGGCTTAGATCGGCCTCTTTTTGTGAGTGAAATCCTGTGCTTCACTCCACTTGTAAACTGGACTGGTGAGGCTTACAACACCCACTGTTCACCAACTATATTACCCTGGCACATCCAGCAGTGTTTGGTCCTGCTATAGACTTAGTTTGGGAGGTTGTGACCCGTATGCAATTGCAGCGACTCAGGACGGCCTCTTCAGAATATGTGTTATTTGGCCATGGGAACATAACAGAGAAAAGGGTTAAAACAACAAAAGCCTAAAAACATATTGGCTAAGCTAAACTTAGCCCTTCCTTGCCAGTTTGTCAGTCTGGAACATAAGACATAGCACTGGAAGTAGGGTGACCAGATGTCCTGATTTTATAGGGACAGTCCTGATATTCAGATCTTTGTCTTATATAGGTGCCTATTACCTCCCACTCCCTGTCCTGATTTTTCACACTTGCTATCTGGTCACCCTGACTGGAAGGGACTTCCTGGGTGCAGGCAACCCAGTCAGATAATCCCATTCATAAACTTTATCAAGCTCCACTTTAAAACTAGTTAGGTGGTTTGTCCCCATTGCTCCTATTGGAAGACTGTTCCACCACCTCAGTTTTCTGGTCATTAGAAGCCTAATTTCTAGCCTGAATTTATTCAGGGCCTGTTTATACTCATTTCTTTTTGTGCCACATAGTCTTTTAGCTTAAATAGCTCTTCTGCCTCCCTAGTGCTTAACCCCTCATATATTTATAGAGAGCCTTCCTGGCTTGTTTAGTCTAGCACAAGCTCTTCTAGTCTTCTCTCATAAAATAGGGTCTCCATTCCCCGGATCATCCCAGTAACCCTTCTCTGAACCAGTCTGACTGGGCTTTGGTGCCCCATCCCCCATCATTGAGCCTATGAGACAGGCTGCATCCTACAACTTCTGCCTCTTGGACAATCTGCCCCCGCCCACCACTCTGTGTATGTGTCTGTCCCTCAGGTCATAGGCTTATTTATTTCAAAGTTCCTTTGTTTCAGAGTTCCTTCTTGCAGATCTTGTTAGCCAGCACACATAGATTAGGCACAGGGCATACCATATTAATATCATGTTATACCCAGCATGTGGGCAGTTATGTTAACCAAATTATATTACAGTTCTCTCCACATTGCTCACTTAGGTCGAGAGATTATATATCCCACAACTCTCTGCAAAGCAAAATGTAGCTTTTGGCATTCGCAACTATAAATTCTGTCCAAAGACAAGATACATTTGCTCTATGTCTCAGTACAGGTTCCTTCACAGGCAACTTATTTAAAATGTAGTATCCAAAACAGATAAGAAAGGTACAGAACAAATTAAGGAAATAGTAGGCTGGATCTTATAAAGTGCTTTCCAACTTGTAAGCAACTGTGCTATAGGAGTGGTTTGGGGGGCGTATTTTGGGAAGCACAAACTGATACGCTGCTAGAAACAGATTCCCAGAAGGGTCAGTAACGAAACTCCTTCCTGTGCTATACTATTGATTTTTAGCAATAAATTGGCTAGGTTTGGTTAATTAGTCTCTTGAACATATTTCATAATGAACCACAAGTATAGTGAAACTAGATACATTTGTAGCAACACTCTCCTTAGGTTTCCAGCAGGGCTGCTGCATTGGTGAAAACTGATTTAAATGTTTCTCGAGAGGGGGTCAAAAGTAGTCTCCTAACAGTAGATTCACTGTATTGTTCATATGACAATTGTAGTGGTTTGTTGAGTTAGGTCAATTGAAGTAGAGTAATTGCTGGGTTCCTGAAGATCTGAGCAGAGTCCAGCCAGAATTTAAGCCTAGGGTACCATAGAGCCAGCCCCGCCACAATACTCAAGCAAGTAGATAGATGCACAGCATTCATAAAATTATATTAATAGCTCCCTCAGTCTTCACAAGGAGCTTTTTAACATTCACAACGAATGCATACCATAGGCTTCTTAAAAATATATACAAAGTAATTGTTATTCTTCATCTGTCCGTGTTGTTCTAAATTTGATTTACATACAAGCTGTAACCTATGAACTGTCTGTTTTCAAGACTATCTTGGGTTTTTACTAATAAAGCACTTGAAGTTTAAACTGGTAATATCCCAATTTAAAAGTATCCCACAACATAAATTTATTTATAACTAATAGTGAAAATAAGTAAATAGTGTTTAAGCTGGTTTCGTTACTGGAAAACCAGACTCTGTTTGAAAGCTGGTCTGAAATATGCAAAGCTTAAGCTACTGTATATATAAAACTACTGCACTTTGATTTGAGTATCAATGGTAATTTTAGTTCAGTATTTAATGCATGGGAGTGGAGCATGAATATCTACCAGGCCCTGTAAATTCTAATAGAACTGTCATCTAGAAGTTTGGACTACAGTGCTATCTGGTACTTTTTTTAATAAGCACAAAATTCACTTTAAGAATGTTGATTTAATAGATTTATTCAACTGCAGTAATCTCATTGTAATAAATTGTACTTTTATGGACCGCAAGCCACCTTGACCCTACTTTATTTCCCCTTTCTCTCTCTGCCTTGGCTACAATTGACTAGTTTCAGAGAGGTTCTTTTTAATTTTTAAATGGCAGCTATCAGAAAAAATATTTTCTTTATACCCCAAATGATGAATTCTTCCCCTTTGCACCCCTCGTCACTCCCCTCTCCCCACCCCCCCAAAAAAAATACAACACTCATAGTCCTCAACTTCTGCCAGGACCAATACAGCATCTAATGTAGATGTTTCATCGGAAGGGAATAATCCCAGTTTTCCAATGAGGAACAGCCTTCAAACAGCCTAACCCTCAAACATTGGTGTATCCATCTAGTTTCTTATCTGATGCCCAACAGCATTGTCTCTTAGTCCTGTCATTAAAGAACTAACATAAGATGGGGCCTAATGAGATGACTTGATTTCTATTTCATGGCCTTGTGTGCTTCTTTTTGGGGAGTTATTCCAATACTACAACAATAATTAAAGATCTACTTTTTCCACTTCTAAGGCCTGTACAGTTGGAGTCATGTTATTAAGAGCCTCTGGCTTTGGAGGTGAAAGGTATGAAAAAATATCAATTTGTAAGCAACATTTCTAAAAGTTTTGTGTCAAAGTTTGTTGACATGCAGAAGTGGCATTGTTTAAAGCTTTACTGGCCTTCAGTTTGGGATGACCTGCAAAACTTGCTTGCGGTTTTGCTGTTCATCCTACATTCATGTCAATAAAAGCTTTTAGACTGTCTCGGTATCATGTTTGTGTCTTCTCTCCTACATTTGTATATAATATGGCTAACAATATATAACCCTTCTTTGCATTGCCCTGCCTTTATCTGAATA